ATGGATGGATGGATGGATGGATGGATGGATGGATGGATGAAAAGAGTTCAGCGAGGCGAACCAGTGGATCGGAAGTGTCAAGTGCAAAGCACTTGTATGCTCATCCACCTGGAGACTATTGCAAAGCACATGCTCAGAATAAATGATTGAGATCAGCCTCCGACCTGTTTTTCTCTGAGCAATGCTGACCAGAAAAGATGTGTTGAACCAGTGCAGCACTGGCAACACTGCAAAACTTCTCCCTTCTCATACCAGAACAGCTGAAGGACATAGCCCAGGCTTGTGGTATCTTCTGACACACCACTTTCACTTCCTCACTTTCCCTGGAATATAATGGTTAACCAAACTGTCCACCTTTGAGATCTTTTTCGTGGGGTGTCCCCAATTCCCCCCGAAAGGTAACCTGCAAATGATCCACTGTACTTCCTAGGGGTATCTGCAGCGACATGCAGGCGGATGACTGCTGCCAAGGTCGTTGGTGCAGGCTCACCTGTGACCTGGCACAGGAGGTGGACAGTATCTAAGCTGAAGCTTTAATTCTTTCAGAGCAGAATCTGGGTTGTGGCGAACATGCAAAAACAATCGACACCACAGGGGTTCAATGATGAACACCATCCATCTAGACATTGCCCTTAGATCCCCTGCTAAGGGTTTCATGTGTTTGAAATCCTTTCGTGGTTTCAGCAAGGAACTCCCTTGCAAGCAACCCAAAGGATCCCAGTTACCACTATAACAAGGAACCATGACTTTCAGGTCTGAACCACTGGTTACCAGCGACATCGTGGTTTACCTGGATGCCCTGGGAAACTGGAGCTAGCTCAGGGTCTACAGTTACCTTTATCATCAAATCCTTCCCCAAACCATGCTAGGTTGACATCCCCATGGTAGGTTGAATCTGTTGTAATCTGTTTATTCTCAGGGGTCTCCCCGCAGGGTGCCCAGGTGCCATGCCCCCCCCTCAAGACCTCGACCGCTGCGCTCACTCCGCTCCCCGCTCGCCGCGCTGGCCTCTATGGAAGGTCTCACACCATGGCCTTCCTCGAGCAAATGCTCCGCGACGCGAGAGCTGCTCGAAGAGAAGGCTAACAAGTACCTGGAGAAGGGCCGCGCTTCATAGACTGATGTAAGAGAAGGCCGAATCATGGTAGGTTACGTTGATGAAATATTGCAATATATGATGTATAGTATGATGTATGCTTTATGACGAAAGATCTGGCGGAATAATGGTGAATGTGCCCCCACGTGTCTGCCACTGGCAGCAAGCTTTGACTTCGTCAAGTGAATTTGCAAGAGACCCCCCGGCATCAAGAATCGATGCAAAAGCTTACAGTCCCTAAGTATTATGGATCCACTGCCACCTTCTCAGAAAGTAATTGGACCCTCCTGGCGCCCACATCAATAGTCTCCGTCCTCACCGTACCTTCGGTATGTGGATCCGGAGTTTTTGCCATGTGTTCACGGCGCAAACGGAGCACTGGGTCTGCAGTCGCCCAAAGAAACCCAAAGAAACCAACTTCAGTCCGTTTCGACTCAAAACGGTGCTCGCTTGGGGTGGTTCGCTTCCGAGGAGTCTTTTGGAGTCTTCATGTTCGGCCATGTTCAGTAGATGTCCAGATTTCTGCTAGCAACAGGACACACCGGCCAAGGTGGGAAAACCGGGTGGCCAAGGAGTCTACATGTTCCGCTGAGTTGGTCATATCTGGGGCTTTGCTGCGGAAGTTCTTCGTCGCGTCGAGGCGACAGAAGAGTCAATGTTTTGACTCAGTGTTCTTTCACTTTTCCGGAAAGCCAACTCCTCACAGTCATTCACGAACATCCTCACATGACCCTCATCCCTTGATTTGAGAACTGTCAAGTGTCATCAATGGTCAAAGCAGTGGCAACATTGGCGGTTCATGATCTGCATCCGTCGCCGACTCCGATAGCGTTTTCCGGCTGCCCCCCAGGAGACAGTCCCGCTGGATCTTTGCAGTAAAGGCCAATCATCTCCTCATCTGCTCGTTTACACCTCGGATCCAGGTCGAAATGTTGACAACACATCAGTATGAAGGTCGTCTGGTCAGTCATCATGGGCGTGGAGGGACCCCAGACTGGATGGTACAGAACAGGGCTGGTACTTCGTTTCGGGGGGTGTACTCTGTTGGGTGCAGTTCTCAGCAAGCCACACAAATAGATACACTCGGAGCCTCGGTGCCTTTTGGAGTCAGTTCTCAGCAAGCTATGCAATTCAGAAAAATACACTCCTCGCACAAACAACTGAAGCTTGGCTGAAGAATGCACCCTCCAAGCAGGAGTCCTCGAGGTATATCAGAGTTGCTTTGAAAGGGTGGAACCAATGCAGGCTCAGTTTTGGTATACATATTATATTTTATTATCGTATCAGTGTGGTGTTCCACTGGTTGATCTATCTACCAGTACCTTAGTACCTTATATAATTAGATCTTATTTCTGCTGGTTGGTGGTTTCAACTCCTCGACAAACATGGACGTGTATGAAGGACGCTTCTCATGGACCACCCGGTGGTTTTCAACGGTTTTTGAGGGGGGGTTATCTAAAAGAAACAGCGACATTGGGGGCCCCTGTGCCATTGGTCCTTTCAATACATTGACCCATGTTGACCCCTTTTCAATCAATCCACCGCCCCTGGCTGTTTCTCGGGTTTCATGGTCTGTGCCAGGTCTGGCGGTCCTGGACATGCTTCCATGCTTCGCTTCACCCAAACGGGGTGTCGTCCCCCACCCGGATTTCTCCCGCAAAACGATGAAATTGGATCCAAGTGATGGGGTAGGCTTTTCTTTGGACCAGGCGATTTGGGACAGCACTCCAGTTTTGTGCCAGGTGATGGCACTCAAGAATTGCCAAGTCAATCCAAGGACGGTCTCTCCAAAGTGTTTGAGCACGGCCATGCGGAAGAATTCACACCTTCAGAGCTCGGGTTCCTCTACACTCTGAAATCGGGTGTACGTGGAGCACGCACCACCTGTTTAGGGTTTAGGGTCCAGGACCATCCGGTGCTCGGAGGTCCTGAAAGACCCCCCGGGCAACGACCATTCGACCTGGTTTCGTACCGTACTTACCTGCAACGACCATCCGTTTCGTACGGAGGTACCTGGATCCTATGAGTTTGGTATGAGGAGAACCTCATGAACCTCGGAGTCTTTCGGGGGCCATGCCATCCACTGAAAACCATCGCAGACCAGACCAGGGAGTGTATATACCTTTTGGATATGGATTCTGCTTCCCCTGATTCTTCGGGCTTCTTGCTATACAGCTTCGAACAGAAATACGCCAACCTGCATTCTAAGGTGCAGCTCTGCGATCTGGGCATGGCTCCCTCCCAGGGCTCTCAGCACCAGGAACTGCCACGAGAAACGCCGATCGATTGAGAAAGTGCTTCGTGCGTAACATCCGTGGATCACTGGAAGATCTGGAAGAGCTTCCATGTGTACCAGCTGTTTTGAGAGAATGGGCGTGTATTACGAGAAGGAGTCACAGAAGAAGGCAGCTGAATCTGAGAGGGGTGTACGCTGCACATATCCTCACGGTTTGGTTGCTGTGTCCAAGGAATTTCCATCACTTCTCTATGCAAACCGCTATGGTCGGAAAAAGTGCTACAAGTTTGGTCAAACCCTCATGCTCCAGGAGGTTACCTCCTCAGGTTCGGTATGAACCTCTTGGCACCCTTGGCACCCGCCCCAGTCCCACCGAACCGAAACGAAGGAGGTACGACTGGATCCTCGGCAAGTAACTCACCCTCGGCAGAATGCGGTCCCGTTCGATGCTCTGAACTGGCAGAACCTCAACCTGAAAAGCCTTGACCCAGCTGACTGGGGACCAGGTGCGCCAAGAAGAACCACGTGGCAAAGCAATTCCTCCATTTGAAGTGTTCGGTCTGCAGATGCGAGATGCATGAGCCTTCTTAGTGAGAAGAAGAGTGTGTGACTACTCCGGGACGTGAGTAGTTCCATGAGTCACCTCGCCAGCGCTTGGAGACTTGAGGCGACGGAGACGCCCAGCGCGGCTCAGGGTGCTCCGGTGAAGCCCAGCCCGAACTCGTGACGAGAAGCGATGTGGAGGTTTTTTCGTCGGGTCCCAAGATGGGAATAGCCTTTGGGTCATCCAAATAGGTAGTTCTGTTCTTGGAGTACACAGCATGTTACAGTAAGTTCTGTTAATATGTTGACTCTTCTTTCACTGACATGTATACCTGTATACCCTACAAGTCAATGAGCTCAGGCCACTGGACTTGGTCATACAAAGACCAGGTTAAACCTGGGTCAGACTGGACGTACGTAGGGAAATAGGATCCAAAGCACACTCTAAAGCAACGAATGCAAACCACTGACCAGCTTCTTCAGTGCGTGACCTTTCGAAGGTTCCTCTTCGTGACCCTATAGGAGGCTTAAGTGAGTGCTTAAGTGACCGAACCAATCAGGTTAGCAAGTACGGTCACGCACTGAAGAACCACTTATGCAAACCCTTAGATCCAGGTCTACCGTACGAACTTCCGTCCCTTCGGCGGGTCCAGTCCCGTACGCCTCCGCATTGGGGCCTCGGTGCAGCGTGGGGAAGCGCAGAAGCCCAGGACGGCGATGAAAAGCGCGGCAGAAGGGCAGAAGTAGGACAGAAGAATTTGGGGCCATCACTTCTGCCGAACTTCTTCAGGATAAAAGAATTAATTATAAGTTTCGGCAGAAATGATGGCCCTCCAAGAGGGTCTCTTCATGGCCCTCCTAGGAAGGGTCTATTTTGGGTGTCTTTGTGATGGTATCAACATCGAAAGACACGGACAACTTCTAGATACCCCAACGGGTGTCCAATAGACTACCCTACCCTACTTACAGGTCTCCAGTGGGCACCCATTGGAAGTGCTAGACAGGGACAAACTGGTCATGGAATTACAGCACCTGGCAATGTGCTCATGCCCCGCCATGGACCCACTGAACCCGAATTGGCCGTCCTTTTCTCTCCAAAACGACGATAGGATGGATGGATGTGCTAATCAAACACACTGGTCAGGTAAAATCACATCTGCCATGGTGGCCAATGGATTTGCTCCACACACTGAGGCCAATAATTCTCCATGAGGCAGGACCAGTCGAAGACTGGGAAGGCCAATGCTCAATTCCTGGGCAATGTGTGTGTGTGAGTGTCCCAAGCTCGATCATGCCCAAGTACCTTCAAGTGTAGCACTTCATGCCCGGCCAGATCCGAGCATGTCAGCATGATTTCATCATCTTCACAAACCCAATTCAGTTGGAAAACAAGGTCTCTGCCAAATGGGGAAATGTAGTGATTCCCAGGCTCCAAGGGTGGAATGTTGCATTGTCCTTCTTCATTGTCTCCGCAGGCGACGGCACTACCATCACTTCGGAGCAGCACTGTATGATTCCAGACTGCAGAAACCCAGGTGTATGACAATCCAGCCTGCAATGGAGGAATATCGCATTGTCCAATAGAAGTCCTTCCACAAGCCACAGCGTTGCCATCACTTCGGAGAAGCACAGTATGTTCCCCACCTGCAGAAAGCTGGGTGTAAAACATCCCTTCCTCCAGAGGTGGAATATCACACCATCCAGCAACAATCGATCCGCAGCCAGCAGCATGTCCATCAAGTCGCAGAAGCACTGTATGAAAGCAGCCTGCAGAAACCTGGGTGTAAGAGATTCCTTTCTCCAAAGCTGGAATGTCACATTGTCCATCACTGTTCGA